ATTTCTATGTTTTATTGAAGAAATAAGTTTGTGTTACATATAAGTAGTGCCAGTCAATTGATTGTTTTTAAGAAGATGTACTGTATATAGTCTAGAAATTTTAGTCAGAAAAAAATCCCCAAAATTGCAAATTTAACTAAAGCTCCATATTTGTAGCCATGTCGTAGCTGGGACCATCAATGACTGCAACTGTTCCTTGTGATACTGTACACGTGAAACTTGATAACAATACTTTGAGATAATAAATGATGTACACAGTAATTTCAAACACCTTTATATTTTTCTCTACTTAAACTGTTATCATGTGCTTTTCAATTAATTACAGTTTTTAGTGTGTTTTTTTTTTTTGGTAAAGTTCCAATTAGGATTTCATGATTTATGTTTTTTACAGTATTATTTACCATGACTAAGCACAATCACAATATGTTAAACTTAATATAATCTCTAGCAAGATTGACATGTTCATTACAACCACTAATGAAAATTTGCTGCATGAGCATATCTCTACTACTTCCACTGTTTTATTTGCAGGAACCCCCACTCAACCATTTAACTGAGAAAATGTCAGGATATATTTTAGAATGTAATGAATTCCAGTATGTCTGCAAGTTTTTGCAGAAATTCCAGGTTTAACCATTATTTTTGACCCACTTTTCTTGGCCTATTCAACTAAATTAACTATGTTACATATGGTTTTCAAATTCACTGAAAATTTTATTGTTTAGAATGTGGCTATATGAAGCTACATTTAGTGGTATAACAAATGGTGATAGAATCTAAAATTATAAACCAACCTTGTAGTAAAATAAGAAACTGTGTTGTTATAAAGTTTCTGAGGTAAATGACCCAAACTAAGCTATCAGATACGTTGATAATGATTTTAACAGACTTAAAGATCCAGTTACATTGAAATATTTTAACGATTATAAAATGTTGTTTTAAAACAGTTGTTCCAACACGAAGACATCATCAAGATGTAGGATTCATGATTAATGCCACATTTTTTATCCCTGAAATACTCTTGTTTGAATATACTGTACTCATTAAAATTGAAATTCAACGCATTTGATTATCATGATAGAATAGAAATAGAAAATTGGGTGACAATTATTCTCTACCGCCAAAAAATTCACAAATCATATGTTTCAGAAAGAACTCCGCATGATTTGTCAAGAGCAAGTCTAGTTTTAAAAGATTTGTTTTTCCAGTCATTAAAAGTGTCATTTGTCTTTAATTTGATGTTGATGGATAAAAAATCAAACACATTGATCTATATAGTACTATATTATTATCAGGTAAATACCTAGTAGGAATTTTCTTTATTTAATAAAGTGTTAAGACAGTCTTATTTCCACTGTTCAAACATTCTGGTGATAGCAGGAACTCTGGAATACTACTCAATGTATAATGTTTTTCATGCTTTGTTTCTGTTTTATATCTTGGTTTAATGCCTTATGCTTTGCATCTGGGTTATAATGCACTGACCCTAAAGATACTACACATCAAAGTATCCCTAGCCATGCCATTTGCTTTTATACCAGTTGATAGAAGTTGATTAAAAGACTGTTATTTATCTTTCTAACTGTGAACAAGATAATAATCCTGTTATTAGTGCTCATCAAACTGATGGGGGTCTATAGAAAACACTGTCAATGTGATATTAAATGCTATTAAAGACATGAGTGAGTGCCACTAGGTCATAAAGGTTATGTTAATGTTAACTTTAAATTCCTGGAATGCTGAAGAGTGTGAGTGGTACCACATTTTAAATATTCTAATATGATGTCCTTTCAAATTATTTAACGTTTCTTAGAGAGGGACAAATTCACTAATTTCGGAAGTTGATTGAATATATGTAGGTCTTTACTATGAATGGCAGTCTCAAAAATGACACGATTCAATACTATAGTGATGAAATTAATATGAACTTAAACAACTCTATACTATAATGATTAAATTAATGTTAACTAACACAATGTTATACTGTAATGATTAAATTAATGTTAACTAACACAACTCTATACTGTAATGATTAAATTATTGTTAACTAACATAACTCTATACTGTAATGATTAAATTATTGTTAACTAACATAACTCAATACTGTAATGATTAAATTAATGTTAACTAACACAATGTTATACTGTAATGATGAAATTAATGTTAACTAACACAATGTTATACTGTAATGATTAAATTATTGTTAACTAACATAACTCAATACTGTAATGATTAAATTAATGTTAACTAACACAATGTTATACTGTAGTGATGAAATTAATGTTAACTAACACAACTCTATACTGTAATGATTAAATTAATGTTAACTAACACAATGTTATACTGTATTGATTAAATTAATGTTAACTAACACAATGTTATACTGTAGTGATGAAATTAATGTTAACTAACACAACTCTATACTGTAATGATTAAATTAATGTTAACTAACACAACTCTATACTGTAATGATTAAATTGATTTTAACTAACACAACTCTATACTGTATTGATTAAATTAATGTTAACTAACACAATGTTATACTGTAATGATGAAATTAATGTTAACTAACACAACTCTATACTGTAATGATTAAATTAATGTTAACTAACACAATGTTATACTGTAATGATTAAATTGATTTTAACTAACACAACTCTATACTGTAATGATTAAATTGATTTTAACTAACACAACTCTATACTGTATTGATTAAATTAATGTTAACTAACACAACTCTATACTGTAATGATTAAATTAATGTTAACTAACACAACTCTATACTGTAGTGATGAAATTAATGTAAACTTTAACATAACTCAATACTCACTTAATACATATACTAAAAATACTGTATTGATTAAATTAATGTAAACTAACACAACTCAGTACTGTAATGATGAAATTAATGTGAACTTAAAAATAACTCAATACTATAGTGTATAAATATTGTTATAACTTTTACATCAAATTTGAATTTATTGGAAATGTCTATACATCTGTACTTTTTGTTGTATAGTTCCAATAAACTCAAAATTGGACATCAGTAATTATGTTGGTTTTACCTCTATTGACCACTAGGTTCCAGATCCTAAGTCTTTAAAGATGTTGTGGTTTGACCTATATAAATATATCATAAACTCAATTTATTAATCACAGACTTCCAGAATACATGGAAGGAATTTGGCATTAACATACCTTAAGTTGTTCCCCTTTGTTTGGTTCAGAATAAATTAGCTTTTTATGAAACCAAAGCAAATTCAATTATAACTTTTAAATTTTCTGTTATCTTTTTTTCTGAAAAGGGACAAATCTGCCCATGCTACGAGACCCAAATGTTTCTGGTGGTAACCATATGTTGTCTATTTGTAGAAGGTCCCTGGGGTATAAAGATGTTTGTATGTTATTAGAGCCTATTTACATTGGTAAGAATATTAGTTACAGATTGAGTTTCAGGTTTATATATAAGAATATAATATAGAAAATAATTATAGTATTATTATTATGTAATAAAGAGATTGGGTCTGACACGTAGTGATTTGATCTATTAAATAAAACCCCAAAAACATTTGTCTTATCTGATAAATATCTTCTGACATATGAAGACGGTGATCTGAAATATGAAAGACAGTGATCTGAGGAATGATAACAGTGATCTGAAGTATGATAAAAGTGATCTGAGATATGAAAGACAGTGATCTGAAGTATGATAAAAGTGATCTGAGATAAGAAAACAGTGTTCTGAGGTAGAAAGTTAGTGATTTAAGGTGTGATAACAGCGATCTGAGGTATGAAAACAGTGATCTGAGTTCTGAAAGACAGTGATCTGTGGTATGAAAGACAGTGATCTGATGTCTGAAAGACAGTGATCTGAGGTATGAAAAACA